CCCCAAAACCCCAAAACCCCAAAACCCCATTTGAGAATAATTCTACTTAATAAGTAATGGCTTAATATATATTATGATAATAAAAATTAAATTTTCATCTATAGAGTATTTATAAAATGCATAAGAGTCGATATTTCTTTTAGTAATTTGCAAAGTGCAACTCTTCTTTCATAAAAAATGCCTTATTAATCTCAGCAGCTGCAATTTTAATTTAGAAAAGAAATTATATTGATATGATCAAGTATAATCACCTTCGCAGTTTTTAGAACCCCTCTAGACTAACAGAATGTGAAGAGAATAAATAACTACCCAAATACAGATGTGAAGATCTAAAGCAACATAAATCCATGAAAGATCGCATTTGGGTCTCGTATAAGGATTCAGTTTACGATATCACAGATTTCATTAAAGCTCATCCAGGCGGAACTGAAAAAATACTATTATCAAGTGGAGGTCAGCTCGAGGGATTCTTTAAGTTTTATCCATTTCACTAAAAAGATCACGTTTAAAAACTGCTATCTCAATATAAGATTGGTATTCTTCATGAAGATGATCGCGTCAAATAATCTGCAAATGGAAATGATATTGATGAAGAGGAAGAAATGCTTAAGTAATTAAGGAGTAAGGAATTGATTACTCTTTAAGAGGTACCACTTATTGCAGAGACTAACCCCATCTATCTTAGATAACATTTTATTACCCCAGTCAGTGAAATGTTTATTAGGAATCATTAGAAGATACCTTAGAGAATTGATCCAGAATATTTTAAACTAAAAGTATTTGAAAATAAAAACAAGAAAGCTAAGTATACACTAGATGATCTTAAAAGTAATTTCCAGCCTAAAACAGTAATGTCAACTATCGCTTGCAGTGGAAATAGAAGAGGTGGACTTAAAAATATTTATCCAACAATACAAGGAAATAATTGGACTTATGGAGCTATAGCTAATTGTTATTTCACAGGGGTTTCTATAATTGACTTGCTTAAGGATCTTGGGTACGATCTAGAGTAAATTAAAGATAAGCATTTAGTAGTTGAGGGTTTAGATATAGACGTGTAAGGAAAGCATTTTTAGGTTTCAGTTCCAATATCGCATGTAATTGATCCTTTAAATGAAGTGATACTTGCTTATGCTCAAAATGGTGAAGAATTAATTTAGGATCATGGGTACCCTCTGAGACTAATAGTTCCTGGCTTTGTAGGAGTCAGAAATTGTAAGTGGGTATATAAGTTATCTATCAGTGATGAAGAAGCTACATCAGCCTAATAGAAAGAAAACTACAAATTTATTTAAGAGCGAGATTCCTCTAAAATTGATTATTCGAAATATAAGCCAATATTTGCTTACATTATTAATTCAGCCATTACTTATCCACTAGATAAAGAGAGTATGATAGTGGAAAAAGACAGCCCTTGTATATATTTGAAAGGCTGGGCTACTGGAAATCCACATTTAGGAACTCCTGTTAAAGAAGTGTAAATATCATTCGATAATGGCCAAACTTGGGAGTAAGCATAAATTACTCATAAGGAAGTAAAAGATCATAAGCATTCAAAAATTTTTTCTTGGGTTTTATGGGAATATAAGATAGATGTCAATAGATTTTAATCCAATCAACCAATTAAAGCATCTGTTAGAAGTGTTGACTTGAATGGAGATACTCAATTAAAATCAATAGAAGAGCTTTATAACCTTAAAGGTCTGCTAAATAATTCTCCACATTCTGTGGAATTTTAATTTGTAATTAAGGAATGAAAATTGAGGTTGCAAAGCATATATATTTCAACAAATATACATTAATATCAAACTTTCGATAAAATTTCAATGACTGAATCTTCAGGGGTTTTGGGGTTTTGGGGTTTTGGGG